TTTTAACAGATAGTACTAAGACAGAACTAATAACTTATTTGAAGGATTTTTAGACAGAAAAAAAAGGATTTCAATTTACAAAATTGGAAAAAATAAATTATAAAATAAAATCTAAATAAAGATAATGATAAAAGATTTTTTCTATTAAATAAGATAATCAAATAAACTTACATTTTTTTGTCTTATATAAAAAATAAAATAAACCAAAAACTTGAATAGAAACTAAAAATTTAGTATTAAATATTTTAAATAATAGTTTACTATACTAGTTAGTACAGTTAAATAAAACAGGTTAAACCAGTATTACTAAATTTAATTTCTTTAAAAAAAGCTTTAAAAATTATAAAATTAGTATAACTTTAAAATATAATCTATAAAATTAAATTTTTTTTAAAAAAATTATTTAAAAAAATTTAAAAAAGAAAAATATTTGTTTTAAGAATTATAGAAAAAAAAATTATAAATTGTTAATAAAAATTCTAAAATTAATATCTAATAAAAATAATAAACTAAGAATTTATTAATTGAAATAAGAAAGTTAATCAAGATATTTAAAAAATGTTTTATATTTTATAATAAGAAATCTTAAAAAAAGTAGAAACAAATTTTAGAATCTTATACTAAAATAAAATTATTATAAATTCTATTTATTATTTTACTTATTATTACAATCTTACACCCAATATTTATTACTTATTATTAGAGTTAAAATATGATTTTAATCTAGCTTCAGTTTATTAAAACTTATAAAATAATTTATCAATAAAATAGTTTAATTATTATTTTATAAAAACATTATTATATTATAGTAAATATTTATTAAAATTAATAAAAAGTAATTATTAAAAAATATGTTTTTTAAAATAAAAATTATAATAAATATATTTAAAAAAAATTAAAAGACAAAATAACAATAATAATAGATAATACAGATCAAAACAAAAAGATTATAAAAAAAATTATAAATTAGAGATTGTAAAATATTATATAAAAAAATTCTTATCAATACTAACTTACTAGTTAAAAAACTTAATATTCTTAATTTTAAATATATAACGTTTTATTAAAGAAACTTAAAATTTTATAAACTAATATTAAATTAAAGATATAAATAAAAAAAATTTATATTAAAAAAACAGAATATTATAAGAAAATAAGATCAGAATTATTTTATTTAGTTTTTTTATTACTTTTGCTTATTTAAGTTTATAGAATATTTTTTTAATATATTTTTTTCTTATTTGATTTATTAGAGTTTTATTTAAAAGTTACTTGTTATATATTTATTTGATTACAGTTATAATTAAAATAAAAATAATTTATTTATTATAAATATATTTTTTTATTAAATATAAATATGTTTTTGTTATAAGTAATTTATTATTATTTTTAAATATTTTTAAATATTGAAGCAAAAAAATGTGATAACTTAGTAAAATGAATAAGTTGTTAATCTTTTAGATGTTAGGTTGTGAGTTCAAAACCTATCAACAGTAAAAATTTAAATAATTATCTATATAATATATATAGTATTATAGTAATAATATTCTGTTAATATGTTTAGATAAGATACTTGTAACTATAGTTATACTAGTATAATTAGTAGATTATGAGTCATCTGTATGATTTTATTATATAAAAAAATGCAAACTAGTATCAGATAATACAAACTCAAGATAAATTCTTGTACCTATATAAATTTGTAGAATTTAGAAAATTGAAATTTATTTGTAAAAATTAAATAAAGAGATAATACAGATCTTTAATAGTATTATTGTAAAGACTAGATTAAGAAAATAGATACTAATATATAAGAATCAAACAGATAAGAACCTCTAAGTAAAAGGTATTACTAATTAGACTGCTGAGTCAAATTAGAAAAAAAAGATATCAGGTTAGACTTGATATATCAGAAAAAGTTTAGTTTTTTTAAATTATCTAAATTAAAAGTCTAAGAACAAACAAGACTATATTAAAATATTAGAGATATGTTATAAAGAAGGTACTGAAGTATAAATAAACTTTGCAAAAGCAAGTTCTGTTAATAGTCTATAAAGTAAGTTAGTTAACAAGATAATTCTTTAAACATTATAATCAGATGTCATGTTTTGAAATTGAGTAACAGCTTGACAAACATACAAAAAAGAAGGCTTAATGTTAGGTTAGATGACATTTAGTTGTACAAGAACTAAGATGACTAATTGCTTAGATGTAGTATAAGGATCAGAGTATTTAATTAGACAGTTTCTGGTAGATTATAGATATAATAGCTAGTATAGAACCTTCAGGCAAACTACTTAAGTAGGTACCCAAAAGTTACACATATGACTAGTTGTACACTTATTTTGTACAAGTAATATATAATGTATTAACTAAAAAACAAATAAAAGCATTAACCACTATTAACATTGACCTTAATTATAAAAATAAAAATAAAAATATTAAAGTAATACTATACTAATGTGATTAGATTAGTATTAAGTCTGTTATAAGTATCATTTTTTTTATTGTTATTTTAAATATAATTAGACAAAGTAAATAAGTTCTTTTTTTATGTTGTTATTGTTAAGTTGAGTTTAGATGTTTTGTTTTCTTATTTATTTAATGCCTTATCAATAAATTTTTTATTATAGGTTTAGTTATTAATTTTGGGTTCCAGTTATAAGCATGAATACTGTTGTTCCATTTTGTATTTTAATTATTGAAACCTAGTTTCTTTTTACTTATTATGATATTAGGCATTTTCATTATCTGGATCTTAAAATTGAATTACAAATTTTTGAAACAAATTTTAAAGTTTAAAAAGGTAAAAACTACAGCTATTTATACATTCACAAAGACTATAACTATAACTATAAGCTATGACTAATATAATATGATTAATAACATGCAAACGGATTGATAATCATTACAATTGTTCGTATAGGCGTGATGCCACATTGGTTTATGCGCCGGCAGATCGTTAGAGTTTCCGGACGTGTTAATCCGTCGTCGGGCTCAGATTCAGTATGAGCAAATGTCTAACTGATTGAAGTAACAATTTACATCAAATCGTCATAATAAATTGTGTCAAAATAAAATACAAATTTATTATTATTATTGTTTTTTATATTTAGTCATTCGTCCTTTGCAAAACTATCTATCCGATAATCGAACCTCAAGATCATCCATTTTTACCTCATAATAGATTAGAAGAATTGCTTTCCAAATAACTTAGCAGTAAATCGGCTAATAGACGACACAAACCCTATATAACATGTAAAGACTTTGTATTTAAGGTTTTACAAGAACCAGCAAATACAAGCACAAAGATCGAAAGACCCTCCATGCAATCCTCGAAGTTTTGGAGAACGACACATATAGCTTGGTTACAAATCCGGTATTATTGAAATTACTGATAAGTTTTCAAAATTAGATAAGTATACATTATTGGGCAAAAAATTTCGAATAACGGTAATTTTGTTCAACCGGGCAGATGAACACGTGCCGCTTCACGGCACGTGTCAGCCAATCATTTGCCCGGTTAAGCCAAATTACCGTTATTCAAAATTTTGTCCAATTTATGATCAAAATAACAGACAAAAGTAAGTTGGTCAGATAACAGTCGATATTGAACCTTCCTATAGCGAACTTTGGATATAACGAATTAAAATTTCGAAATTTCGGTATAAAAAGTGCAATAGGTTTTAATAAAACATAAAAATTTTCTAACATGAATTTTTTTTCTTCTATTATGCATTCCTCTTCTCATGTGATAATATTAAATACAAATGCAAAAACGCTTATGACAAAACTCTATTGTGAATGAATACTATGGGAATAGTTACTATTTTATTAATCATAGAAGCAAAAACTTCATGTAAAGACTTATAATTTAACTATTGAATAAACCTATTTTAAAACAAAGTACTTGATGAATTAATTTGTGTAATACACTTAATTTATTGTAAGTTTAAATGGAATTCGTTAATGATTCCGAATTCTATCATACCCTATGTTAATTTGGAATCAATCTAAGTGCATTCTAAACCCGCAATAATTCCATCTTAACGTACGACATATACATGAAGGGAAAATTCCCTTTTTATTTGGTAGGGCACCTGAATGCACGTTCTCCCTAAATGCAAGCCTAACTTAAGCCCACTGCAATAATGTTCATAGATATTTCCTCTTTAATTTCCTCTTTAATTTCCTCTTTAAATACACATTTAGCTAATTTTTTACATATGATATTGTCGCAATGCATTTAGAGATATCTATCATTTCTTATTACAGTATTAGGAGGTCGGGTAGGTTTAAATTGATTACTAATAAATATGTAAAGCAAAACTCACGTGACACATATAAATTACTACCTGGCTTTAGACGACCCCCCTTATTAGGTAATTTTATCTCCATAATTTAAATTTGCTCGATGTTGTTTACCATATATGATTAGTGGTGTAATAAGCTTTTTGCAATCGATTATGCAGTGTAAACAGCGTTTCCTAGGTATGGTTGGTAACTTAATCGTTTATGTTAATTCACATCATTTCCATGAATAAGATCACCAAAACAATTTCCTCATAATACAAATACTTACGTACTGTACGTACTTGTACATGTACTTGTTTCATAAAAGGAATTTTAATAATAATAAAAGTGCTACAAAAATGAACTACATGCATACAATCATTGAATACGTACAGTACAATCAATGCTTTAACATTAATAATAATTAATAATTAAATATTGTAATTAATACTATGTTAGGATACTAATATCTAAGATCGATATAAATCTATTTCGAGAAAATAAAATGAACGTAACGTTAACTCGCGACATTTCTAAATTTGATTAAATTATCTGATTAAGTGTCACATGTACAAATACTAATAAAGATAAAAATTTAAACATGTCAAAGTACGCAGGCTTTTTCCTTTATGACTCCGAAGTCTTTCGAAATGGGTCTCTGTTTAAATAAAGCGTTAATGTACTTATTCGCTTGTATGATAATAATAATGAAAGTTGAAGCTTTTGTCGAAAAGACATCAGTTCCTAACGAAGATATGATAGTCAGCAGTCGAGAGATTATTGCAAGAGATTTACAGAAACGAGAACAAACCACACATTATTATACTAAGACATATAAAACTAGTGGCACACCATATAAAACTATTATAATTACAGAAACTGCAGTACCTTTTGTTCCTCCTCCTGAAAATTTTACTTCGCTAACCGTGACACTTTATTATCCAACTTGTCATGTATTTGACTGTCACTGGAGTTTCAGTCATACTGGTCGCGTAATTAAAGTAAAATTTTCGGAAAAATCTACTAAAACGGTAACTTCAACAATAAGTGATGTGTACCAAAATGATCTAAACAGTAAATCTCTGGAATCCAATAGTTTATATCCAACTGATGTTAAATACGTTGTTATTGGTACAATTAGCGGTGCTATTGTTGGCATACTCAGTGGAATTGCTTTGACTTTCGGATTTAATAAGCTTAAATCAAAAAATGACGGAGTTCCAACCCCGTCATCAGATCCAAGATTCAAATAGACTTATATTTTTATAAATCTATTAAATATAAGTATATAATTTTATGATTAAGAAACATGTATTTTACATCATTACTGTGTATTGCTTCGAGTTAATATGTAATATTTTTAAAAAAATAATTTAATTTTTGCTCAGCAATTGAAATTGATTATATAGTCCTATTGTATAATTATAGTTCAACCGATACTTTAATGTGGCTGAAATATTTGATTAGTTAAATTTTAAAAAAATAATATGGTTATTTGCCTTTAAATAAATTTACTTAATAAGTACTATTTAAAATCCTACTGATACATTATCTCTGTATAAATAAAATTTTTCTGTAAATCGCTTGACTAAAAATCTAGATCTTAAACCGGAAGTGAAGGGCTATGAATCCGCAATGGTCCGATTAACGGAAAAAATTAAAAAGTTGAAGTTCATAAGCGTTAAATTAGATTCATACAGATCATAATACATATGTGCGTATTCAGAATATTTAGAACATTATAGAGTTCCGATATTTTTATATTTCCGGTATTCTGAAATTATTTTCGCTGCCAAATATAGGGATCATCTAAAGCAACAGCGCTATATGAACAAAGTGCAATTAATATACTGTATATCATACGTCGTAAAGGTCTTCTTTATAATTTTCTGCAATTTCTAGTCTTAGCATCTTCATCGTTCGCTTCAGCTATATTATTATATTCAGAAATAGTTGAATTCGTATTCAAATAATCAATTGGTATAATAAGAAAATAATCGAATTTTCATTGAATCTAAACTATTAGAATTTTAATTAATGGGCATAATAAATAAATATACCTTCGAAGAAATAAACATCCATTTTCCAAGAGGATCAATAAAAAAAAAACTGCTTATTAAAAAATAAGAACAAAAAAAATAAGCACTGCTTATTATCTATTGATATTTTTCTTTGTTTTTGATAGTATATGTATTAAGATTTCCACTTTTTTAAAAAATTATCACGCCTTGCATTCCCTGAAATATGCCTCTTTTAACTGTTTAATACAAATCTTTTTATTGTTGATTTTTGATGTATAGCAAAAAATTTTTTTGATATTTAGATATGGAAAAAAGATCAAAGTTTCTTTTTTCCAGATTATTTACGTATTAATATATGATACAGAAATCGTCATATTAATCGTTGAAACTCCGTACGTAACTGCTAGTATACCCCTAAAAAAATGTTACGAAATTGAGTTTAAATTTTTTCCGAATAACAAAATCCTATATTCAAAATTAGAATTCTATAATCAGCGATGGTGGTACTTAATTGTCGCATTTAACAATTTACTAATTTTTTAGAATCGATTTTTCTTTTTTAAGTAAACCATAGCTTATGATGTTTTAATTTCTAAGCTAGTAGTCCCATCACTATCTATAATTCTTTCGCTTCGACAAATAGTAGCGAAATTACACTGAAAATATATATACTTAAACTAGACATCGGATGTCAATTTTGGTTAATTTAGTTATATATACATACTAATTAAAATCTTACCCGAAACTATTCTGGCTTATGCCGTAACAGCTTCTGCTGCATTAATATCAATTCTTTCGATTAAATCATTAATATAAGTGACTCTTAATATAAGAAAGTTGCCTGGTCCAGTCAAAATCTTATATCGGTTTTTTATTATAAATTCTTAATTAGGATTTACAAATCTTATATCAAAAGTTTTTTCTATCGTATTTGTAAATACTCTGTTTAATAACCGTATTTGACTATTCTACAATTATTTGTCACTACATCATTTGTGCTTGTAAAAAAATTACATAATATTTAAGATTGATAAATGGCATTTTCTTACATATAAACATGTCGTTTCTAAGTAATTAGCAATTATCAAATATACTGTATATATTATTATGTTAAAATGTTAAAGATCTATATAATTATAAAAATTAGTAATACTTAATATTAAAATACTCAATAGAGCATTAAAGCAATGAACTAGATTCTTAATATAGAAATAGAATACAAAATACCAATCTCGATAATATCATTCCAGATAAAATATGCATTGTTTTATTCAGATTTTCTTTCATTTTTGTCAAGTTTTATAAACTATTAACCATTTGTCAATTGGTTTAAAATTTGGTTCGATGTTTTTCAATCATTTCTTATTTGCTGAAGAAGTTTAAACAGCTTGAAAGACATTTTTCTGTATAATATACTATACTTATTGAAAATTATTTAAATAACACTCATGTGTACATACATCAAGAAGGGGGAAGGGCCAGATGGGTTTGAACTATCCACCTCTGTGTTATCAACACAGCACTCTCACCGAATGAGCTATGACCCTGATTTAGATGTCAAAAGTAAGGTAAAGAATTGGGGGGGGAGCTTTGATATCCTTTCTAGGGCTAGGCCCCCAGCATCATCTAAGCAATTTCATTATCTATCTACTGGTATTTATTTTGCCATTTTCTTTCTCATATCGTTTTGGCTCATTCTTATCCGTAAGCACTTATCAAGGTGATCAAAAGATTTCGGATTTTTCAACTTTTGTAGTACTTAGGTGTTTCGCTCATATTGTTTAGAATGGTAAGAAATAAGTAAAAGAAAAACCAGATTGTGTTGATTAAAATTAATTATTGATTAAAATTGATAATTAATCAATACATTAAGTTGCATTTTAAATTTAAACCCAGTTTCGTAACATTTTTTTTAGAGGTATACTAGGTTTGTGATAAACTATACATAAAGACGATTTTCCTAATTTTCCAATCTTTGCAAGAGAATTGGCACTAAAGATACCAAATTCAGTTTTTATTGATCGTGTTAAAGAATCATATTTAGATAGGAAGGATATACTTGATCTCTTAGAAAAGTATATTAAGTAGAATTTAACAAAAGTATGATTCCGTAACTGTTATATTATAGAAGTGCTGTCAAGAGAAAATGCATGTTCAATTTTGGATTATATTTTGTGTCAGACATGACTTATCTAATTTATTAGAGTTGTTCCCAATACAAAATATAATTGAAAATCTGTAATTCCTTATCTCCTGACAGCACTCATTTCCTGTAATTTGCAATATGTATAAAATGCAATATGTTATGTTTTTTATTAGATTGGAGACAAGTATTATAGGTATTGTACTGGTATTTCATATGGGTCAGTTATATTGATATTGCTTTGTAGGTTCGTATTGACACAATTGATAATTGGTTTCTTTTCTTGATATTTATATATTGATGACTTGTAATCGTTTAATACATAGCTTTTATTATAGTGAGATGAAATGGGAAGTGCTTCCTTTTGTGAAGCATAATGATGGTGGAAGTGAATATATCGATTTGGAAAGTGTTTCCTTTTGTGAAGCATGATGATAGCATAAGTGAATATATCGATTTCAATTGTGAGATGGTTATGAAAGCTGGAAAGAAAAGTTGAAAGAAATTGAATTTGATAGTGTGAATGCTTTTGAAAATCAAATGTTTGATGCAATTAGGAATTCAGTTGACAAGGTAACTAGGGAGAAAAGAAAACAAAGATGACGCAAGGAGATTATTGTTGAGATAAGGTTTTTAGTATCTCAATTAGAAGAAAGTTCCAAAAAACTTTTTGATGCTAATGTTGATTATAAAAATTGAAAACAAAAGATTAAGAAACAAGATAAGTTTTTCGATTCGGGTCTTTCTTCGTGAGAATAGCAAATTTCTTCTACACTGCTTGGTAAATGTTCTAAACTGAAATCTATAACAGTATTACTAATTTCTAAATATTTTAATTTGGTTAGATTTTTTAAAGGTATGTTTGGTTTGTTTGAAAAAAAATATTTTTGAAAGTTAGTGGTGAGAACTACTTCCCTTCTTCCCCTCCTCCTCTTCCTTCTCCTTCTTCTTCTTCTTCTGGATATCATCCAGATAATAATCTCCCAATTATGTCCTTATCAAAAGGGTTATGTTTTTGGCCAAAAATTGAATTTATAG